AAATTGATAGATATAATCATTACTTTCTGGTTAAAAGAATATTTTATTTAAGAATTAAACTTTTCCTCTATTTGAAGTAGAGATTATCCTCAAAACTTTACAACTTAGTCAAATGACACATGCATTGTACATTTTTTAATGTTATTCCACCTTAAGGAAGAAATACAATTCTAATATGTTTATCAATCTAAACTCATAATAATAGGGCACATTACATTACCTGCACAAGAGTTTATGAGTGGCAGCAGAATTACCAGTTTCCATAGCAACCTCATCTCCACGTTGTAAGGTCAAAAATTTCTCCCATGCAATCAGCAGGAAAAAAAATACTGTATCTTCTAGTTAGTATCCTAGCAGTCTGAAAGAAATAGAATTGAGAAACATGAGTGTCTTAACATATATACTAACTGTTAAGCATTGATTGATTCTAGTATTCAAAGATTATTAGCAAAAAACAAATAAATGACTATATTTTATAATACTTATATTCTGAAAACTTTCAAACATTTGAGTTCATGTTTTCATAATTTCAGTTCGCATATTAACTGTATATCATCTGCTATGATATTTTTATAGTTCGCAATTAATTAGAATGTAACTCAGTTCGATGGATATCATGTGGATTAAAATTTCCATGAACTGAATTTTAAGTTCAGTTGTTATTGAAAAGTTAAATACGTATAAAATCATTAACTCAACTTCCACAATTGTGATGTTGGCTTGCGGTTTTGACTTTTAATCATTATATCCTAACATATATATTAACAGTGGGTTCATAGAAATCATGTATTTTCTAAGCATTTTTATTAATATTATTGAAAACATACTTATGAATCACTACCTTTCCTTGTTAGATTTGTACCAATTCTTTGGGAATTTCTTACAGTGTATTTTGATCATATTCACACCCCTTCCCCTGTCTTCACCACCACTCCACACACACACCCATCTCGTGGCCTCTTTTACAGTTTCTCAAAGGCCTATTTAGTCCAATTTGTTTGCCCCACATGTTCCTGGGTATGAGTCCATCCCCTGGAGCCTGGTAAACCTACCTGGCATCACACCCTTAAAGAAAACTGACTCTCTTCTAGCAGCTAACAATTATTTATACTAGAACTAAAACTAATATTGTGCTACAAAATTTCTGTGATAAATCAATTGCTGCTGGTATTATCTTTCAGATAGGAGACATGCTTTTCCTAAGGGATTACAAAATAATTGTCTCTAATTTATTTTGACATTTAAGCTATATGGTGATAAATGAAACCAAGAAAAAGTCTTAACTTGGTCTTTACTTAAAAAAATCTAATAACAGTTTTATAAATGCTGATAAAGTCCCAAAAATTTAGAATAACCTTAGAATAAATTCACCTCAGTTATATTTGATAAAACTAGTGTATATCAAATGACCATATGCTTTAGAACCTTTCATCTCAGTAGACCTAAATTCAAGCCCAAATAACTTTTGGAAGTACTTTTGACTTTAAATAAGAAATAAATGAATAATGAAATTTTGATCATTTCTTAATGTATTTTGCTTTTTTGTTTTTTATATTTGCTGCTTGTTTGAGACAAGGCCTCCCTCTAGCCCCAGCTGGCATGGAGCTATCTACATAAATCAGGCCAGTGTGCATCTCACAGAGATCTGCTTTTTTCTGCCCCTCGAGTCTAGGATTAAAGTTTATGCCCTTGTGCTATCTATCTATCTATCTATCTATCTATCTATCTATCATCTATCTATCTATTATCTATCTATCATCTATCCCTATCTATCTATCTATCTATCTATCTATCTATCTATCTATCTATCTATCAATCATCTATCTATCATTTATCTATCTATCTATCTATCTATCTATCTATCTATCTATCATCTATCATCTATCTATCTTCTATCTATCCATGTATCTATTTACTTTTATTTTTATTTTATGTGTGTAAGTGTTTTGCCTGGATGTAAGTGCACCCATGCCATGTAATGACAACAGAGGCCAGAAGGGGGCACTGGATTCTGGAACTGGAGTTAGGGATGGTTGTTATATGCAGTGTGGGTGCTGGGAACCTTGTCCTCTGAAAGAGCAGCCAGTGCTCTTAACCCCTGAGTGATTTCTCCAGCCCCTTCCCGATATAGCTTTAAATTTCAAACGTCTTTTATTCTTTCTGCCTCTTGTTATTTCATCTTAAATGAAAAAGTGATTACATTACACTTTTTAAAAATATTTTATTATTTTTATTTTATGTGTATGAGTATATTGCCTGCATGTATGTGAGTGCACCCATGTCATGTAATGCCACAGAGGTCAGAAGAGGGCTTCAAATTCCCCTGGAACTGGAGTTAAGGATGGTTTGTAGGTGCCATGTGGGTGCTGGCAATCGAACCTGGGTCCTCTGCAAGAGCAGTCAGTGCTCTTAACCACTGGGCCATCTCTCCAGCCCACATTATACTTTTTAAAAATAAAACTTAAGTGCTTTCAAAATTAGAAAATATAAGAATTGAGATAAAAATAATGTTCCAGTTTATTTAACACTACAAGTTCTATGCCTAGTACTTCTTAACATTTAAGTTAACTCATACATTTCATTCATTGACCTCAAACAATATTTAAATAAATATTTGGTTTATTTGTTAGTTGTTTATTATTTGTATTCTTTAAGATATTGGTTATTAAAGTGTTAGCCATGAATCTAAATTTCTTTCTCTTTCCTTCAGGTCTGTCTTGGGTTGACAAAATAGCAAAAACAATACAAACACAAAAACAAAACAAATAGAAACAAGAACAAAAAGAATATGATGCACACACAGCTGGATAATTATGCTTATTAAGAGTCGGCAATACAATATCTGGTGCAGTGTATTTTTCTGCAGGCTTTCTGAGCTGGAGTTCCTTACCAGGTGCAGCATATGTATGAAGGACTAGGAAAGCGGAGCTCAGGAGGGGCATAAGGCTGATGGGAATGATTCCAGAACTACAAACAAGAGAAAGGAACAGTGCCAGGGTACAGGCTGAGCTGGCAAAAACATGAAAAATGCCCAGTTTGTATTCAAAAGCACAAGGGTTTATGGTTGAAAACAAGAAAATAAGATGCTTAAATATAGAAGACCTCTAGGCCTTCAGTATGAGTGTTAAATAAAGTGATGCTAATTGATGATTCTACATAGGAAAGAATCATCATGGTTTAAATTACATCTGTACCTGCTCTCCAGGAAATTAGGGATGGAGTTAAATCTAGAAATATATAAATAAGCTACCCATTGGTATAATAATTCTAAATGTTTTTTTATGAAACAAATAATGTGTCCAGTTATAACTCACAAGCAACCAAATTCCTTGGAATATTTTTTAGAAAAGTTAAATATAAATTTGGAACCTTCTTCTTCCATTTAGTCTAGTGCCATGGCGAAGGTCTGCTCCCTAATCATTTTGCACCATCCATTAACTTTATAAATATGATATTTGATTCAGGTAGAATTTCCTGCTTGAGTCTATACTCTCCTTAGAAACTGCAAAATATAGCACACCCTTGCATCCCCATTTTCCCTTCACAGTATCTGAATACTCAAATGTCATGACAGAATTGTCAATATTGCTTCCTCACCCCAAAGTCACAGTTTGCAAGATAAATTCTACAGTCCTCTTATTTCATGGATAGTCATTATTTTTCCTACCTGACACTCTTGCACTCTTCTCATCATTAAAGCTCTGTGAGTTTCTTTAGAGAAATGGATCTCATTATTCCCCCCTCAGTCTATCTGGTTGCAGCAGAATTCCCTCTGCCTGTCCACTCTTAGAACCCATTCTTTTTGTTACAGTACTTTGTAAACAGAAAGGCACATGCCTTAACACTGAGACCAAAAACAGGAAATTCCAGGCCCTTTGAAGTCACCAATAGGAAAACGACATGATATTTCCCCTACATTGTTAATATATGTCTTTTGATCTGATAGGAAATACTTTTCCCCAAGGGTTATCATGACTCAGTTTGAAGTTACGGCTAAAAGCTCTAATTCTCATTTAAGGAATATTTGCTAAACCTGTGCAACATATATTTCCCTTATTAGTTTCTAAGTATGCAATAGTGGATATATATCCAGCTGCCAGAACCTGCCCCCAAATGTGTAGCACCCAGGAACAGCTGTTTCTTTCTTCAACTATTAGATCATTCAACACACATGATCCACAGGAAGCCAGAATAATCTAGATACCCGTCTGTTTGCATGTGTAAGTTTCCTCCAATGCTTCTACTTTCTTGATTTTTTTAGTGTTTTTTGTTTCTCCTGAGTATAATCCTCCATGTGGTCGTCCTTCATCTGGAACTGTAAGGAACAGTTTTGACTTTCTTGTCCCCAAATCATGGAAATTTGTCCTCCTATCTAAGGAGCCTACAATAATACCTGAAAACAGAAAATCTTGAAACAGCCAACCATGCCTGCATTCATGAAAGTCTAAAATTTGTGAGCCAGTTAAATATAATTCTGGCTAATCCTGTTTGCAATATATGGTGTCTTCTTCAACCAAAATAATCACATTTGCATCTCCATTCATGACCTTGATTTATAGCAACTTTCCACAAAGAGCAGTCCCCATCTGCTGTGATGTATGCTTGAAGTATGTGCTTATCAAAGGCACCATTATACTGCCAGTTTTCATAATTCCACTTAAAGGTAATTACTATGTATAGTACTTGCTCAAAGGGCTTGATGTGGTGAGTAATAAAGAACTCATAATTGTTAGTGGAATGTGCTAGGTGTGTAGTTGGCAGTGAATCACCTAGCATCATGGCACAAAAGCCTAAACTGGGAAACTAGAGATTTTGATTCCCACCTTAGCTTAGTGACAATGGGTGGTCTGTCTACTGTCATGACCTGCAAGGTACCTCCTTTGAAAATGAAAGAGTTTGACATAGAAGATACCTTTAAATTTTGTCAATCTGTTTTAGAGTTGGTTGATTCATAGTCAGTACATAATTTCACAGCAAATGCTGTCTTTTCCCATCTGATTGCTTATCAGCATATGGTAATGAGGGCAAAGCCTAAAAGACATTTCATTTGTCACTGTTCTATGAAGCCAGCCTGAATATTTACACATCTTTTGCCTTTTATAAAGGTTCAGTTTGTAAAAGTTTACGTTGCCTGAGGAACAGGAACGCATGCTGGATCAAGAAAAAAAATATGAATCAGAAAAATGTGGTACTTTTTTTTTCTCATAGAATATTGGACTAGAAATACTCAGCTGGTAAAATTCATGTTGGTCAGTGACCTGCAAAAGAATCACAGGTTCTAAGGACCTGGAGACTACTTGAGGCAGAATGGACAAAGAAAGGAAGGTTACTACACAAACCTTACTTAAAACAATTTCT